TGTATGTAAATTTCCTTCAGGCCAGGTGACAAACACATTGGCCACTACTCAATTATTTAATAGCTTAGGCAGTAACCCTGAAAGACTGTCTATTTTTTGCAGAGATGGGTGGTAAGAGGAATCATAGAATCACAGAATCATAGGATCACAGAATGGTTTGGGTTGGAAAAGACCTTAAGATCATCCAGTTCCAACCCCCTGCCATGGGCAGGGATGCCTCACACTAGACCACGTCATGCTCTGCCCTTATGCATCAGTTCTGTAGCCCCATCATAGAAGGCCACCAAATTGGTCAGGCAGGATTTGCCCTTTGTGAAGCCATGCTGGCTGTCACAAACCACCTTATTGTTTTTCATGTGCCTTAGCATGCCATCCAGGAGAATCTGCTCCAAGATGTTGCCAGGCACAGAGGTGAGACTGACTGCTCTGTAGTTTCCCATTATTATTCCTTAGATAAGGTTATTGAACGTCAGTATTGGTGCAAATGCAGAAGTGCCTTACCATCTTCCACCAGGATCTCCCGTGACACCCTGAAGTTTGTGAACCACTTTAGAATTTGATAAAGGTAAACCACCCCAATTGTAATAGCATTTATGAAATAGGTAAAGAAATGAATATTCACACAGAGCCTGTTGGACCAGTTAAAAGGACAGAAACATTTTCATTCAAATCAGGTTGCAAACAGACAGACTCAATAAATTACTGTGTTCACATGAGTCGAATGACAAGTAAATGTAACAAATAATCGGTTTGTGAGACTGACCCCACAAAGAACCATTTTGTGCCAGTATTGCATTTAGAGGATTTCAGTGGGACTCAGGATCTAATAGCACAGCTTTCAAGTCTCACCAAATAAAAAAGGGAGGAATCCTTAATATTTATAATACCTTCACCAAGACTTCTATTTAGAAATGTCTTCAGGTATTCCCAAACACAGCATGCAGTGAAATCCATGCATTAGTACTTAAGATAGTATGATCACTCAAACACTCATAAAATGTTAGTGCTGTTGCTCATAATTGTGGGTATCACCATTCCAAGCACCCTTGGATTTGGGAACACAGAATCGTTCCAGGTACTGGTTAGAAGGGATTTCCAAATTGCATTCAAAGCAGGTTTTTAATAACTCTTTTTTAAAACAGGATCCTTTTCAAGGACATCTATTGTTAGGAAATAACCTGATCAGTGTTATAAGTACCTGCACCTACACACAAACCAATATAAAAAGAAAGAATAAATGGAGGTGTTCTTAAAAACCAAAGGCAAAAATGCAAAGTTCAAATTCCTCCTGCTTTGTGCTTTGGGCTTGATATTATTTGTTACGTAGAAGAAGGCTGTTGTTGTCTGTAGTTTACAATACATGTAAGTTGCTCAACAGGTTGCAGATGGGTCATGTTGCTCATGGTGGTATCTCAATTTAAGATCTCCATGTTTTCCTCCTTTGGGTGGTTTGTCCACAGAAAGCTGGGTCAGAGAGCTGGAGAAACCAAGCAGGATTATTAAGAGGGTAAGATGATGGAAAGATAAATTCTTTCAGCATTCTGTCATTATTCTGTAATAACAACAGTAGAATAAATACAGTAATAACTAAAACATAAATCTTGGCAACTTGATAAGAAATCGCACAGCAATTACTATCAAGGAAGAGTTTGTTCTATAGTTTAAGACTCAATTTGAATCTTAATCAGCAGAACTTCCCTATTCTTAAATATATTTACCACTATACAAAATATAAAATATACACTACCTGAACACTTTATCAGCAGGGTGGTTATGCTTAGCATAAGTAAATATGCTGGTATTTGAAGTTTGGGTTTTTGTGATATGTTGAATGTTGGAAACATTCTATTAGACACATATTGATCCATACTATCTTTTTGTGCCAATGAATCAAGTTTATTGGTTCAAGGGTATTGACACAGGGTGTCCACTAGAGCCATTATTCTGATCTATGTTGGGTTAGAAGAGATTCAGTCTATGTGTATTAGTGAATCAAAAATAAGGGCAATCTTTAAAAGTACTATTCCTTTCCTTTTGTTGTTCTGGTTTTTGTTCTTTTTCTTGCATATGATGCAAAACCAATCTATCACAAACCTCTGGAATCTCTAGCATCAGACTCCGGTGTGAATTAATCTTAGATCTACTTTATAAGCCTAAACCATCCCTGTATGCTGATTGCTGATTGTTGGGCTCTTTCACATACAGGATCATGCTTGCTGGTCTCTATCAAACTTGTCTGGAGAACAGCAGTGTCAACAGATACTGTCTGAAAAGATGTGTGGGTAGCGTCAACTGAGCACAAGAGATGTAAATCCTCGTGTAAGGAGAAGCAGCATCAGGAACTTTGGTTTTATATCATGTGGTGTCACAGGGTTGCTCAGATTGATTAAGTGCTCATTTGTGACAGCAGCTTCACTCTGCTTTGGTTTAAGTATCCAGTGTAAAGCATGTTATGTATTTCAGAGTTAACCTATTTATCTCTGCACACTTCTTGTGCCAAAAAGAAACGTTTTGCTGCTATAGAGTAACTTGGGGGTTTTGCCTGTATATAGGAACTCTCCAGATGAAGAAATCTGCAATAATTATAGCATATTTTATCACCACCTACTGAACGTGACTTGTGTAAGACTCTACACATATTCCATGCTAGAACGTAAACACATTATTTGTTTGGACGCTCCTGACTTCCATTTAGAGCAAGATAAACAGTTACAAAATGCAATGTGACATCACAGTAGAAATTATTCCTCCCATTCCTTTCACACTGCCTTCCAATGAATACCGATAGTTACATTTCTCTTTCTCAATGGTTCAACCATTGCCACATGTCAGAAACTTTTAAAGAGCTGGTTTAGGCTTGACTGATTTATTTGCAAGATGCTACATGATTTAAAGAATCAGAATTGCATCATTCACAGTTCTGTGTCAACCAGAAAGACTGCCCATTCTATGCAGGGCTACGTGAGACTGCTATGTGAGATTTCATCTCTATCCAGCTGGTTTTGGGCTACTGTTACTGGGAAAGAAGGAAGACAAAGCCCAAGTCTTCACACTTACCATTGTGTTTGCAGTCTGAGATTTGTAGTGTGCTAAGAAAAAGAACTGTAAGCTGCAAAGCATCGTCATCACTTTACAGCACAGATCTCCTGTAAGCTCCATTCCAGAGTCCTTTAAGGACAAACTCTTCAAAATAAAGTTATTCTGTATAAATGAAATGCTCCCTTTTTGCTGATGCAGAGGCCTATCAGATCATCTCTGCTTTGATCAGCTCTCGCCAAGGCTTCCTGCATGCCACCTGCTTGGGAAACAGGGAACACAGCTGTAATTTCACCTCACCCTGTGGAGGAACCTTGGTCAAGGATAGAGTTTGGTTTTCTTATCTTTCTGTCCTTCCTGAAGCTTGCAGCTTCAGCTGAGTTTTCTCAGTCCTTCTCAGAACTGGGAGCTCATCACAATGACCATTGTTCTTTGACTCCCAGTATGTGAATAGTCTGTGAAATTCACTGTCACAAGACAGTTGAGACCTAGAACTTCTTAGGCTTCATGCAGGGACTAGCCTTTGCTGTAGACAATATTTGTGCTTATAAAAATGCTAAATTTATAAACATACAGAAGTTTGGAGAAAGGTGGAAAACTCATGTTTAACAGTATGACACGGTTTACTGGTGGACTTGGCAGTCCTGGGGCAAAGGTTGGACTTGATGATCTTAAAGGTCTTTTCCAACATAGTTGATTCTATGATTCTATTGCATAAGAACAAGAGAATCCTAAATCTCAAGTTTTTATCAATCAAGTTTATATCAAGATCAATATTCCACATATGTAAGCTTAGTTTTTTCTGAGTCACCTGCAAAACTGGTGTGACTTTATAGGAATATAGCATTCCCTTCTCTTTGCCATTTACTACAGATGAGAACTCTCATCTTTTTACTGCATAGCAGATCCTCTCTGAACATCAGAGATATTTAGACTTTGGCTCTACAGGGCTAAGATGTAAGTTAGGCTAATTATGTACACAGTGCCATTAGATGTAATGTAATTGACAGTGAAACAATGTTAATAGTTGCTGTTGTTGTTGTTGTTATTAACCCCCAAATCTTTTGCTGTTTGTTGTTGACTTAAGAAGGAATTCTTTGAACAGTGAGATGCATGAATGACTGGAATATATGCAGGAAACTGAAAGGAACTGTATGCAAAGAGCTGTCAATATGCAAGCTAAGTTAACTGGAGATAAATAATGTTTCCTTAATGCACTGTTTGTGTACTCTGATCTGGTGGTATAATAGTAGATAACAATGCTTTTAGTTAAAAATGAGACATAGATTGAGCATTTCAAAGACCAAGGACAGCCTGAAGGTTTTGGGTAGTGATGAGACAGTTAAGAGAGACCTCATGGAGAGGCTGGAGCATGCTGCTGCTTTCCCTATGCTAGTGCACAAGTTGGCTCTATGCCTTGAAGGCAGAAATTACAGTTGAATGAGAGATGTTTGTTAGCAAATACATTTAATAGCAGCTTTCGGCTGTTCACACAGGCTCCTTTACAGCTTTACATTTTGGTGCTGGATGACATGAAGCTCAACTCTGTGTCATAAGCTGGTTGTCCTAATGTTAATGACTGATTAAAGGATTACAGGATGCTGACAGTGCTTCAGTTTTCTATGACAGTCACTGGATATTTGCAGCAGAAGAGCTGCCCACAGCCTTCCTGAACTTTCTCTTCTGTCTAATCCCCATTATTGACTCAGCAGTATGGATGTAAGTTAACAGCTTACCTTATCCAGTTCCCAATGCTCTATGAAGGTGCTCACCTAATAGTCCTTTCTGGATTTTTGCCATCTCTAACAGATAATCCACTGAAGTTTTTCTATTTATGCATATTTTTATTCAGTTGAAGTAGTCTAGAGCTCTCATGAGTAATTAGACCTTCTCAAGGCAGATCAGAAAGGAGAAGGAGGAATAGGGCTTTTATTCAAGGGTGTGGCAAAGTGTCTGGTGTGAACATGGAAAGGGAGGAAACTATGGAAGGGTGTGTTTGGGCAAGGGGAGCCAACCAGCCTAAAATCACAGGGAGTGGCTTGGAGAGGGACTTTATAACGGGCAGGCTGAGATGGTTCATTCTCAGCCTGGACACAGTGCTGCAAAACTTAGACCAGTTGCACCTCAGCACCAACTGCACATCTACCAGTACAGATGGCTCCACAGACTGGCTCCACCAGAAAGGAGACAAGACCTGCTTCAGCCTTTCTGCAGCTTCTCACTTGGGAAGAGATCAAGATGCACAATGGCCATGGGCAAGGACAGGAGCAATGGCTGGTGATTGACAGGAAAGTGTATGATGTCAGCAAGTTTTCCAAACGACATCCTGGAGGCAGCCGAGTTTTAAGCCACTATGCTGGGCAAGATGCTACGGTAAGGTCTAGGAGGGCAGAGGAGGAAGTTGTGTCGTGGTCAGGGTAGGAGGACATGGTGTTTCCATGGCATCTGCCAGTGGAGAGTGATCGTGGTAGCTGGCATTGTGCTTGGGGCATGGATTTGCCTAAAGCCAGGATCCCGGACTTTTTTCCAAGTTCTCTTGACTATTCCAGAGCTCACTGTATATACAGTGAGAATTATACACATATATAGAATTGTGTATATATGGTGAGAATTGTGTGTATATGGTGAGAATTATCTTCCTCTGTGGATTACTTTGTATGTATAGATGATATGCATTGCAGAATATTATGCTGATATCAAATGCTGAAGGATAGGTGTGTTGCAGATGATATTCCTTAAAGTTAATCTCTCATAAGATAGGAATCAGGGCCTAAGAGCAGGGGGAAGAAAGGACAGGTTGCAGGACTGAAAGGCTTATGTTTCTGTGACACAAATCTGTGGTACTGATATTGTGGGTAGAAAATGCTGCTTGGAAGGGTTCTGGCTCCTGTTTCTAAGGTGCAGCACTGATGCTTACAGCTTGACTCAGTTCTAGAATTCCTGGCAAGAGGGAGCTGCATAAAAAATACGTAAAACCCTGTAGGATAAGGGGCACAGAATCATAATGGAAATGTTTCCCCATCCTCTGGGTCTGAACTCATCTTTCACTGTGACAAAGGGCTGCTAGGTATGTATAAAAAGCTCATCTGCCCAAAATGTCACCTTGCTCTGATTCCCTCTAGACTAACATACTCAGGTTGTCTCTAAAGAAGAGACCCCAGAAGAATGTCAGACTGCAGAAATCCTCTGTCTTCCAGGGGCTTAATCCTGACCACATGTGCAGAATTTCTTTGTTCATTGATTTTTCGAGCCAAAATCAGCCAGTACCTCATTAGACAATGAGGAGTCTGTTAAATGTACTCTTTCTGGAGTATGGTCAGCTTCTTTAACTTTCTTCTGGAAAAATTCCCTGAGAACATGAAATAAAGAAGAGGTTTGATTTATGTGGAATTTCATCCTTTATTCCTAGTTTGTGTTTGATTTTGAAACTGGTATTTCAAATGGTTCTTGGACAGGCCCATTTTTGTGTCACTGGTATTACTCCATTCCCCAAACTGTCAATCAGCCTGAAAACTTACAAGGAATTGTAAGAGATACGCAGTTAGTCCTGCTGTGTGGGGAGCTTCATTGTATATCTCTCATGGTCCTAATGTAATGAGGATTTTAAAAACATCATCTCAAGTATAGCAAAGACTCTTTCATTGACGTGTTTTTCTGCTCCTGGGTCCCATTCATAGGGCAGGGCTGCTGGCTAGAGGCTTCTAGGGAAGGACTGTGCTGAAACAAGCAGATGAAAGAGCATGCTTTCCTCTGCAAAGGGTTTTTCATCAAACACTTTCATGTTTATTACCAGCCTCTCCCAGGTACTCTTATGAAATCTGATTTCTTGAAACTTCTCCAGCTTCCTTGGGCCGAGCTACAGTTCATGGCAAAGAATTACAGGAGCAACCAAAGGGGACAAAAATGGACAAAAGAAACTGGATTATATATTATATACCAAAGACCTGGAATAAGGACTCAGCATCTGGTGCTTATCCTTTCTTAACCCTTCCATTTGTGTCTTCTCAGGATGCCTTTACAGCATTCCATAACGACAAGTCCCTGGTGAAAAGATACTTGAGATCACTGCTGATTGGGGAGCTGGCACCAGATCAACCCAGCTTTGAGTCTAATAAAAAAGTGAGTGTCCTAGAATCCAGCAGTGGGAATGGCTTGGGGTTTGGTATGGGAGGAGAAGGAAAACAAAAGAGCTATCAGCATGCCTGACACCATGCCATAGGCATGGAAACATGCACTGTCCCAGAATCACTAAACCCACACCTGGGTGTGAGCAAGGAGCCCCAGATTCTGCTCGGTTCTTCCCACTGCAATGTGTCAATATGAAAGCTCGTAAGTAACTTGTTTTCCAGTGTCAAAGCAAGACCAAGATCTGTTGATCTGATGCTCACGTTTATACAAAGGACCCTCTGAGACAATATCTCCTGTGACTTCCATGTCTACTTTGGGATTCTTGGGTCTGCCGTGCTTCATTTTCAGTGTAGTCAGTGCATGAATACTCACTTTTCCCACAGAAAGCACTTTTAGAGGATTTTCGTGAGCTGCGCTGCTCTGTTGAGAAGATGGGACTTCTGAGGCCAAATTACACCTTTTTCTTCCTGATTTTCCTTCACTTCCTGGTACTGGATGTTGCATCCTGGCTCGTGGTCTGGCACTTTGGAATATCCTTTGTGCCTTTCGTGGTTGGCATGGCGTTCTTCACCACTGCTCAGGTAAACTGCTGACAGCCATTCAACACTGCAGACCTGTTTGGCTCTCCTGGGTAGAAGATAATGAGATGCTGATATCCCAGCTGTTGCTTTACTTCCTCATCTTAGATCCTGTAGTCTGGCTGAAGACAAGCATGTTGTACAACACAGTTTTGGTTGCCTCCAGGAACCCATTTTGCTGACAAGCTGCTCTCCAGGGTTGGTGGGGTGCTGTGAAGCTGGCATTTCATAAGATGGGATGAGCTGATCTCCTCACTCACCCAAGCAAAGGAGGGAATATTTCATGCTCAACTCCACTGTTGTGATACTGATAGCTCTGGTGCTTGTTGGGTCCTTTAGGAGCCAGTTATACTCAGTAGTCCTGAAAAATAGAAGGGTATGGTACATGTCAGGGTTGGTGGAGGGAAGGAGGGAATAGGGACTTTGTGACCCTTAGATGGGAAACACTGGAGGGTGAAGTGGGGAAGAAAGCAAGATTCTTAGTGGCGCTGAATCCTTAGGTTTGTTGAGACATCCATGGACAAAGTGTGAAGTAACTCATCTTTTTTAAACTATCTGTTTTATTTGTCCAATATCTGCTAAGGCAGATACTCCTCAGAGAGCATTCTTGTATTTCCATAGGAAAAATTGAGTGTAATCAAGTTGTGGATTTGGAAATGCTTACATTATCTAGCTAGTTACTTGGAAATCATCAATTTGCAATGGGAGCAAAAGACCTCCACGCTGTAACGGTCGACTTGATTGTAATGCTATTTTGCTACTTTCCCCTCAGCTGCTCCAATAAAATCAGTATCTGGTATCTGAAGAGTTGCACCAGATGATCCTTGAGGTCTTTTCCAACCTGGTATTCCATGATTCCATGGCGTTCTATGATGCTGAGCAGCTTTAGGACAGTAGCCTGGAAGGAAGTTCTCAGCACTGAGCATCTAAGAGAGGCGGTGGGGTTTCTTCCCCAAACCAGGAGAAAGACACACTCATACTCTGAAGTTACAGAGCCTCCCAAGGCAAATGAATGCAATGCCACTGTGACTCTTCTTCCTCGGTGACCCTTTTGTCTTCCAGATCCAGATGGGCTGGTTCCAACATGATCTGGGGCACTGCTCTGTCTTCAGGAAGCCTAAATGGAATCGACTTCTGCAGATTGTGGTGATAAATGTTCTGAAGGTAGTTTCCTCATATTGGGAATATTCTGTGTGATTAATGTGGATTAAGCAATGAATGGGAGTGTCCTTACAGTCCGATAATATTGCCTGGGAGAGAAGTGTAGTGTAGCTGTGAATAAGAGGTGGATAAATAGCAATTGGTGATGCTTTTCTAGTATCATGTTTTTGTGCAGGGGTTACCAGCCAGCTGGTGGAATCACCTACACAACCAGCACCATGCCAAACCCAACTGCTTCCGCAAAGACCCTGACCTCAACATGCACCCACTCCTCTTCAGCTTGGGAAAGACCCTCTCTGTGGAGGTGAGCATGGGCATGTTTGGAGAAACAAAGATTTTAATGACAGGAAGCTATAGAGGAGGGTATAATAACAACCAGGTTATGCCTTTCTGCATGAACTCGTAATTCCCAAGGTATTCCAAGTCTGAGAGTCTCATTTACTTACTGGTTATTATGATTCTTAGTTGCTGTTCCAGTTTAAACCCAGCTGGTAACTCAGAACCACGCAGCCATTTGCTTACTCTCAGCTTCCTCTCCTCTTCGGGCAGAATAGGGTGGAGAATAGAAAGAATTTAAACCCCAAGGGTTGAGAAAAGAACAGTCCAACAACAAAAGTATAATATGAAACTTCTAATGATAATCATAAGAGAAATAATTAGGGGAAAGAATATAAAGCTAAAAAGGGAAAGGAAAAAACAATAAACACAAGTGATGCCCAATGCAATTGCTCACTATCTGCTGATGGATACCCAGCCTGACCTGAGCAGTGATCTGCCCTTCTGGGTGACTCTCCCCAGTTTCTATGCTGGGCATGATGTGCTGTGGTATGGAATACCCTTTTAGCTAGTTTGGGCCAGGTGTCCTGTCTCAGCTTTCCATGCCTCTCCTCACTGGCAAAGCATGAGACCGAAAACTTCTTGATCAGGGTAAGGATTACTGAGCAATGACTAAAACACTGGTGTGTTATCAGCATTGTTCTCAGACTAGAGCTGAAACACAGCACTACACCAGCAACTAGGATTGAGAAATATAACTGTTATAGCTGAACCCAGAACAGGCACCAGCTCCTGAGAAGCAACGTCTTAAAATCAGTGCTTAAGTTCTCTGTGCTGGTAGAAGAGCAAGGTAAGCACCTTGCAGACAGCACAAAGAATGAGTCAGTCCACTTGCATTAGTGTTAGATGTTAGTGATGCTGTAGATAGTGAGTCAGATGTTCCCTCTGGGGCCTTTGGCTGTGGGAACTGTTTGGCAACTAAATCCTTCAGGATCAGTACTGGTGCTATGCACAAAACACAAGCATAGGAAATGATGTCTTAATCATAAATTTTATGGCTTTCATAAAAATAAAAACCATGAACAGGCCCTCCCTGCATTCTTATGATTTCTGATTCCATCAGAATAGGCAAAGTCTCTTGCCTCTTCATTCCCTGGCAATTCTCTTTACTCTTGGGGTGATGAAATGGTGTCTCTGCTATCTCAGAAAGACTCCTGTAAAGAAAGTTTGCACAAAATATTTATCCATAGAAAACTGTTAGCTGCAAGTAGGAAGGATTTTGTCCATGATCTTCTGAAAGCTCTCTCATGGCTATATATGAGCATGAGCATGAACATCTCTAGTGGCTATGCTAGACTGGGTTTGATGGAAGTGAAAATGTAGGAAATCAGTTCTCATGTCTTGCTGCTTTTTAAAAGAAAACAAGTCAGGCACATTGTGGATGGGCAAAGTGGATTTCAGAGCTTTTCTTTCATAGAATCATAGAATAGTTAGGGTCGGAAAGGACCTTAAGATCATTCAGTTCCACACCTCACACTAGACCATGTCACCCAAGGCTCTGTCCAACCTGGCCTCAAACACCGCCAGGGATGGAGCATTCACAGCTTCCCTGGGCAACCCATTCCAGTGCCTCAGCACCCTCACAGTAAAGAACTTCTTCCTTATATCCAATCTAAACTTCCCCTGTTTCAGTTTGAACCCCTTGTCCTGTCACTACAGTCCCTAATGAAGAGTCCCTCCCCAGCATCCCTATAGCCCCCTTCAGATACTGGAAGGCTGCTATGAGGTCTCCACGCAGCCTTCTCTTCTCAAGGCTGAACAACCCCAACTTTATACCAGTGAACTTTTTTTGTTTCAGTTTTGACCCAGTGAAAACATCTTTGAGGTGTTCCTGCTTTTATTTTCTCACTAATAGGGAAGATCTGGAAATAGTTTGTTTTGCTTTCTTATTATTTTGTCATCTGAAGAATCATAAGCACAAGATGTGCAGATAACGTTAAGAATCTTTTTGTACGAATAGTGAAAAGATACACTGGGAAGGAAGAAAGAAAACCATTGTGCTTTTTTGTAAATATTTCATCTCTGCTGCTTCATGTACTTCAAGGTAAAGTATTCAAAACATTCAAGGATGATGTCTCTATAGAGTGCTTGCTTCTCTGACGTTGCAGAAATTATTGTACAGTCATTATAGGATGGCATCGAAATGTTTTTGTCATTTCTGACCACTATCTCCTCTATTACTCCAAGATTTGGAATGTCTGCATCCTATCTCATCTGATGCAGCAATTCAGATGTAGCTTTTACAGCAAACACATCCTGCATTCATCACCCTCCAAGATTCCTGTCTTACTCTTCATGTTAATAACCTGCTCCTCCCCAGGCACTGAAAGTCTCAGCTCTCTGCAGTAAATATGTGGCTAGATGGGACTTTCATTACCAGTGAGCATTGTGAGCATGATTTGTAAGCAATTTTTTTGTGATTTTTGAGCATTTTTGTATCCTGCCATGAGTTTTGGAGCCCTCTTAAAAAATGGCTTTGTTCTGACATTGACATAAGATTGATACCTAGATACAGAGGCTGAAATGAAACCTGCTTCTCTCTTGATTTGGAGCTTCACTACCTGCTTTTCAAGAGTAGGGATTGAAACAGAAAGATTCAGAGGTAGTTCTTGATGTGTTCATTAGACAGGAATAAGGAATACCTCATGAAGGCTCTCAGGTTTCCAACTGGCCCATTGCAATGTCTTTTCATCTTTCAGCTTGGAAAAAAGAAGAAGAAGTTCATGCCTTACAATTATCAGCATAAGTATTTCATCTGTGAGTATCCCCATTTCCTTGCAGTGCTGCAGGAACTTCACCTAAATATCATGACTGCATCTCCTTCCCAAAATGGAGGTTTTAAAGATATTCCTGTTGAAGTCACAGCTCCCAGAAGTTTCCTTCCCACCAAAGAAGGGTCACATGAGGAGTTATTGCCTCTTATGTCTCTCTTAGGATTATGTGGCTTTAGGCACCATGTAGGGGTGAATCAAGTATATGGATGAAAGGATTGAAAAGGCTGGGAAAGAAATGAAGTGGTGACATGAAAAGAGGAAAAGAATATGCTGACATGTGAAAGTTGGTGTAAATGGAAGAGAGCACTTTTATTTCCACTGGAAAGAGAATCTTTCTTCTTAGAGAAGCATATTCTGGAAGATTTATGATGCAGTGCATTGATAAATCTCTCTCTGGTTTCATTCTTTCCTTCAGTATTGGCCCCACTTGCACTTGTACCCTTCTTCCAGCTGTCTATATTCTACTTTGCAATCAAGAGGAAAAAGTGGTTGGTAAGTACTACTTGCAATGTCTAGAGGGAACATTCAAAAACTGCCTCCACTGTGTGGCTACATTAACCTTCACCTCAAGTGATTGGGGCAGTTAGGAGAGAAAAGGCTGATTCTAGGCTTGCTGCAGCAGGAATGCAGTCAATGGGACTGGGAAGATTTTTCTAGAAGCTATTTGGCTTTTTAGTAGCTGAATAAAAGTGAACAGAAGACTATCAGGCCTAGTCCCAAACAGGGCTGTTTGTCTGTGGGTCTTTAGTTACTGAAGGTAATGTGAGTGCTGTTGGATGTTTCAGGGATACAGTCAGCTGGAGGCAGAATGATGGTGTGGAGCCTCCCCTTGGTAAATGAGAGATCAATAACTAAGAACATTTTTAATGCTGGAGTTCAAGTAAAGGGGAGAGGAGGGAGAGGAGGGGCTTCATCAACAAAAACTCATTTTCATCTTGTTTTGTTTTACAGGACCTCTTACTGATTGTGGCTTTCAACATTCGACTCTGTCTCATGTATATTCCTTTAATGGGATTTAACAACTTCATGATCTACTACTGGGTGTCCAGGTAACACACAGCATACCCAGAGTCCCCGTGATGAATACTTGGAAACAATACTGAACTTCAGTGAAAAGAAATGAAAACTAGTCACATTCATTACAATACTCTCAGAAATAACTAGTCAGCCAAGAAGAAACAGTGAAATTCAGCGGTGGGATGGTGGCTGCTCAGGGACATCTGCAACATCTGAGTGGTTCTCAAAAGAAACTCCAAAATGTAGGAAGCAAAGGGGTGACAGAAAATCCTGAATTACGTAAAAGTGCTCTTTCGCTAAAGATGAGATTCAGGAAGATGTTTTAATAGTAAATTTGGATGGGATTATAGCTATGGTAAGTGTGCCTCTGTTTATCTGTGCAGGTACCTGGAGAGTACCTGGTTTGTTTGGGTGACACAGATGAATCACATTCCAATGCACATTGATTATGATACGAATAAAGACTGGGTATCTACTCAGGTGAGAATCTCTTTTTTCTGGAAGGGGTCTGCAATTCTGAATTGTAGAACAGAATTCTTATTCTCATAGCTGTAAGGCTGTGTTAATGAGGTTTGTCCTTGCTCTTTGTTAAATAGGCATTTCTGTAGCAGTAAAACACTTAAAACTGTAGTTGTAACAAAGGACATCTGGAGTAAAAAAAATCATACTTTCTCACTGAAATATTTTCATGTATTTTTCACAACACTTTTCCCTTCTTATTATGAAAAAGTACTGATGATATAACAGATGATCTCCTTTTTAAGCCAACTAAAAAGAAGAAAAATGGGACTGGATACCTTTAAGTTTTACCCTATATTTACAGGTTTACTGCAGATGAGATAAATCTGATAATATTTAGGTCTGGTTAAAATTAATATGTAAATGCAACTTAACTTTACGCACACGTATCCTGCCTCCAGCGATATTATCCCACATAGTGGTTCTAAGCATTTTTTCTTACATTAAGGGGAAAAAACGCAAGGGAACTCGGTATTCTTCTTACCAAATTTGGATGTCTGTATCTGAACAACTGCTACATTCATCAAAGTGAAAGAGACGTTTCTAGAGCATGATTTACCTCATTCTAAAACACACATCTAAAGCAGGTCAGATGAATGGCAACTGGTGTTCTCCATTGACTGTAAGGTGATGAGCTCAGATGCAGATTTCAGACTAAAGGTGTCTAAATCAGGTGAGATGAAGCCTGTGGACACAAACCTTTGCCCTCATCCTTTTGTGTCTGACTCCAATGGTACTAGTTGGAGGAGGCCAGAAGAATGGTTTTTGTTTCTCAACCGGGCATCTTTTCTTTCCATTCTTTCCATCCAAGTGAAAGATGTGAGAACCTCTTTAAAGAATGACAGTTGGGGTTGTGTGCATGACAGTCAAGGTGCTCTTTCTGAGCAAAGAGCTTATTTAAATTGACTTATATGCTAACAACCCATTTAAATCCAGACTTTGATCAATTCTTGAGAGCAATCATGGCTATAATCACTGACTCTGACTTAAATCTAAATCATGTATTTCTTTGGTGTCTTTTCCTCCCAGCTCCATGCAACGTGCAATGTGAAACAATCTGGGTTCAATGACTGGTTCACTGGGCACCTCAACTTCCAAATTGAGCACCAGTGAGTATGATTATGGGAAGAAGAGTGGGAATAATATGGGGAACTTAAAAGACAGCAAGGCCATGTAGTCTCACACTAAAGCATCTCAGGAGACCCTTTGCTCTCCTTCTGGGAGAGGGCAGGGAGTTACTTTGGACAGAGGGAACAGAGAATGATACAAGCCAAGACTTACAGTAACTCCCTCTCCTTCAATTCTGCAGCCTTTTCCCCACAATGCCTCGACACAACTACTGCAAAGTAGCTCCTCTGGTGAAAGCCCTTTGTGAGAAGCATGGCATTGAGTATAAAAGCAAGACTTTACTGACAGCATTTTCGGATATTTTGCAGTAAGTATCACTTAGGAAGATAGTTTTGCATTGTAATTGCTTGCAAGGAAGAGACATAGGCAACCATTTCAAATCTATTTCCATGGAGAGATCAAACCTAGAGTTTATTTCGTTTTTTCTAAAGGCACATAGATTTTCAATTATTTATTTTCAGTTAATTAATTTTTAATTAATTAATTAATTTAAAATAACTTGTGAAGTTTTAAAAATTTGTTTTTTCTTGTTTAATCCTCTCAACATTTTCCCTGTACACAGACTGCTATGAGATAGCCATGCAGGCTTTAATCCTTTTCTTCCATCTACTTAATTTGCTTTCTAAATTGCATCCCATGAATTGAATATTGTCTGCTCATAAGTGATTTTTTACTTTCTTTTCCTGCAGTTCACTGAAGGATTCTGGGGAGCACTGGCTTGAAGCTTATCTGCATGGATAGAAACTGGCAACTCTCAAAGAGAACGTCTTCACCAGGAAACTGCTGCAGAGTCAGCACAGACCAGCAGCGTGTGTGTGTCTTCTGGCATAGAAACTTTGGAGCTGGGCAAAGCTAACTGCAGTAAGAATGAGTGGTAAAGTGGTTTCAAGAGACATTTTTTCTTGTTCTCAACCATGGACCTCTGTTTTTCCTGTTCTCAAAATCAGAACATAGAGCCATGATGAACTGGGCCTTTAAACTGGGGAGAAGTGGCTCTTGAATCAGCTCGCTCAGTTGACTTCATTGAGGTGTCAGCTCATTGCTTATGGAAAAGTTGAGGAACACAAAAGAGTTTGAAAAGTGAACAACAAGACCCACCTGCAACCTGTTGAGCAACTTAAATGTATTATGGACTACAGACAACAGCAGCCTTCTTTTATCAAGCCCAGCGCACAAAGCAGGAGGAATTTGGACTTTGCATTTTTGCCTTTGGTTTTTAAGAACACCTCCATTTATTCTTTCTTTTTATATTGGTTTGTGTGTAGGTGCAGGTACTTATAACACTGATCAGGTTATTTCCTAACAATAGATTTCCTTGAAAAGGATCCTGTTTTAAAAAAGAGTTATTAAAAACCTGCTTTGAATGCAATTTGGAAATCCCTTCTAACCAGTACCTGGAACGATTCTGTGTTCCCAAATCCAAGGGTGGTTACAATGGTGTCATCCACAATTATGAGCAACAGCACTAACATTTTATGAGTGTTTGAGTGATCATACTATCTTAAGTACTAAGGCATGGATTTCACTGCATGCTGTGTTTGGGAATAACTGAAGGCATTTCTAAATAGAAGTCTTGGTGAAGATTAAGGATTAAGGATTCCTACTTTTTTTACTGGTGAGACTTGAAAGCTGTGCTATTAGATCCTGAGTCCCACTGAAATCCTCTAAATACAATACTGGCACAAAATGGTTCTTTCTGCTGTCAGTCTCACAAACCGATTATTTGTTACATTTACTTGTCATTCGACTCATGTGAATGTAGTAATTGAAACCTGATTTGAATGAAAATGTTTCTGTCCTTTTAACTGGTCCAACAGGCTCTGTGTGAATATTCATTTCTTTACCTATTTCACAAATGCTATTACAATTGGGGTGGCTTACCTTTATCAAATTCTAAAGTGGTTCACAAACTTCAGGGTGTCAGGGTAGGTCCTGGTGAGAAGTTGGTAGGCCACTTTTGCACTTGCACTGATACCGAAACCTCAATAGTCTGCTCTTAAAGAGTAATACTGGGAAACTACAAACCAGGATGTGGCTGGTGGCAGCCAGGATGGCTTCACTAAGTGCAAATCCTGCCTGGCCAATGTGGTGGCCTTCAGTGATTGGGCTATGGAACTGATGGAGAGGGGTAAAGCAGTTGATGTCATCTACTTGGACTTGTGCAAAGTGTGACAGGCCTCTGCATCAGGAAAAAGGGACCATTTAGTTTATCTAGAATAACTTTATTGATGCTGGTTTTCCATCTCCTTTTTGATGGGTTGCTATCAAAGGATATGCCCCAGGCACACACTGCAGTCTGGGAAGCACCATGGTGGGTCTCTGGTACAAGGAATAAGCAGTTTAAAATCAGGCTAGTGCCTCTCCCCATTTCTGCACTCATTACTGCACAGAGAATAAAACAACAGCGTGCCTTGAATATGAGAGGAAGAACAGTTGTGTGCAATATGACATGGTAACTTTTATAACGCTGTTGTAAGAGCTAGTTGGAAGCATCTGTTATGGTGTATGATGTTCTCTGTTACACAGTGCTGGTAGAGTCAGCTACAAGTTGGGCTCTGCAGGTACAAGTTAGAGTCTGAATGAAGCCAACAAGCTCATTTCCTGCTACTCAATGATGTGTTTGGTACTGAATGTGCCAACTGCCTTGCAGCATCTCCAAGAGCCAGGAATGGGCTCTTTAACAGAGTGCTGTGGTTGCCTACACACAAGGGAAAAATGGGAAAGAGGCCAGTGTGGTGATTCTATGTTAACATGCTACGTCATGCAATGTAGGCACTCCTTTAGGACTGGCAGTGCTATTGTATTGAAAATGCATACAGGGGAATTGCTAAATGCACTTCCATGAGAACAGTGTAATGTCTGTGTTTAACGTCTGTAACTACAACCAGAACTAAAGATAAAGAGGTATGCTCTCTTTAAGAGCTGCAAGTGTAGGAAGCTTTTGTTTCCTCAACGCTTCAGTGTGAACTTGGAGAATTACCTAAACAGTCATAAGAAGTAAATGAATTTGTTTGGCTCCTGCAAACTGAAATGTACTTTTACCACTGGGATTTTGCATGGCAAGGGAACCAACAGCTAGTGCTAAATTAAAGGGGGAAAAAGAGTCAGTACTTAAGATGCCTGTATGCTTGAATTCTCCTGTTTCCATATAGAGAAATATTCAGCCTGCAGAACCTTGCTCAAGAGGGTGAAATGAGAGATGTCTTGCCTCATGACTAAGCCGAAAAGATTACTAACATACAGCAGTATGTGGACCCCTGCAAAATCAGGAAGATTCATTAGAGGTCATGTGCTCTTTCTAAAAAAAGTCAATATGACTTTTACCCTAAAAATCACAAAGAGGAACTTTATTGATATTCTTCTCATTTCTGTTTTTCCTGTATCTATGTTATCAGTACTTTCTGGTTCTGCTGTTATTAATCGATACCCGTACATCTCCTTGGTCTTTCATACATGCTCCATTTCTTTTGTCTTTAATTCAACTTTCATCTCTCCTCATTTACCGTTTACCTTTCCCACTCCTACCTTCTTCATTTGGTTGGCTCTCTCAAAACCAACAACATTATTGGAGAGCTACTGTGCCGCCACTGAGGTGATCATGACACTTTGCATTAGCAGAAGCTGTCCTTGACCATAGGCATGGAGAGGCCAGGTCCTTTACATACCAGGTACAGAGCTGCTAGGAGTGAGTTCTGATGTCTCTCCACCCTCACAGGTCAGAACTTATCCCTAATTTCTAATCTAATACCTAATCTGGTTCTTGGGGAGGAGAAAAGTTTGCAAGGCCCAGAGAGGCCCATATGGTATGAGAGAATTAGGTGAATTTCGTCCCTTTTCTGGATATAGAAGCAGAGCACAAATGTAATTCGTTGCCTAATAATCAGTGTAGATGCCCACAGGTCCTTGGACTCACCAGGAAATAAGCATTTAAATATAAATATATAAATATATATTTATATAAATAGATATTTAAATATTTATATATATATACATAAAACTTAATAAAAGCAAAAGTAGTCTAAATGCCCTTGGAACCTGAACCTACTTTCAGTGCCTAGGCTTCTCAGCCTTATTCAAAGCTGGTCTACATCAAAAAGCTAATCAGACAGCACAGTCACCACACAATTAAACTATATACATGTATTTATGCATATATATAAATAATGTGTGCTATACAGACTCTTTGGACTGTATTCAAACCACGTGGTATTACATATGTAAAACTTAGCATCTAGTTATCTGCTTCTCTATGACCAATACTAGTTATAACACCTAAGTAGTAAAGCAAGCAGTGCACATGTGATCAGTAGCTACAGGGATAGCTACCAAGTCATATTGCTCTTCGCACATTTATCTATTCTAGAATATCCCTTAAAGAACCTCCCTCTGTCCTAATGTGTCCTGACTTCCTGCACTTTGCTTTGTACTATTCCAATTTCACCCATCCACAAAGCCAAAACCACTGAGGACAACTTATTGCGCCTTTCAAAACTGAAAGAGGGCTTGTAAGAAAGCTAGAGAGAGAATTTTTACTAGGGCTTGTAGTAACAGGACAAGGGGGAATGGCTTTAACCTGCCAGAGAGGAGAGGAGATGAGATGAGCTCTTAGGCAGAAGTTCTTCCCTGTGAGGGTGCTGAGGTGCTGGCACAGGGTGCCCAGAGAAGCTGTGGCTGCCCCATCCCTGGCAGTGTTCAAGACCAGGTTGGACACAGGGGCTTGGAGCAAGCTGCTCTAGTGGAAGGGGTCCCTGCCCATGGGAGGGGGTTGGACAAGATGATCTTTAATGCTCCCTTCCAACCCAAACCATTCCATGATTCGCTGAAGAATTTCCTATCAAACATTTCCATAAGCAATGAGCTGACACCTCAATGAAGTCAACTGAGCGAGCTGATTCGAGAGCCACTTCTCCCCGGTTTAAAGACCCAGTTCATCATGGCTCTAAGTTCTGAGACTGAGAACAGGAAGAATAGAGGTTCATGGTTGAGAACAGGAAAAATAATGCCTCGTGCAGCTACTATCCCACCCCTTGTTACTGCAAATAGCTTTGCCCAGCTCCTGAGTTTCTATGCCAGAAGACACACACACGCTGCTGGCCTGCGCTGAGTCTGCAGCTGTTGCCTGGTGAAGAGATTCCAGTTGAGAGCTGCCAGTTTCTATCCATGCAGATAAGCTTCAAGCCAGTGCTCTCCGGAATCCTTCAGTGAACTGCAGGAAAAGAAAGTAAAAAATCACTTATGAGGAGACAACATTCAACTTCATAGAATCACAGAATCACAGAATAGTTAGGGTTGGAAAGGACCTTAAGGTCATCCAGTTGCAACCCCCCTGCCAGGGGCAGGGACACCTCACATTAAACCATGTCACCCAAGGCTCTGTCCAACCTGGCCTTGAACACTGCCAGGGATGGGGCAGCCACAGCTTCTCTGGGCACCCTGTGCCAGCGCCTCAGCACCCTCACAGGGAAGAACTTCTGCCTAAGAGCTCATCTCAGCCTTCCCTCTTTTAGCTTGAAGGCATTACCCCTTGCCCTGTCAAATAGGAGATGTCCCTGCCTATACATGCACAGTCAAATCAGGACTTTCTCAGTTTGAAAGCAGAAGCTGTCCCTGTCTGTATTACCCAGGTCTCCAAACAAATGTCAAAGCCACCTTGAAACGCCCAGGTAGGTATTGAAAGCCACAGGCCTGCTCATCCAGAGAAACTGTCGAGGAATCAGTTCAATTGAATTTACGGCATAGGCAATGTTCTGCAACAGCTACCCACACACCTGCCAAAATCCATGTCACTTGCATCTGGGAGCAAGTACATGTGCACGGAGCTATTCCACATCACCACTTTTGTGACCAAGAGTCTCCTTGCACAGACACTTGACATTGTTTCCCCAGATTTCCAGTGTGCCGGTGATGTGACTGCTGAGCTCACAGTTATTGCAACAACACTTTTATCCCCTATCAGTCAATTGGTTGCAGTTTACGGTTAATCCACTGGAGATAAACTGTCCCAGCCCAGTATTCCAAGAAAATCTAGTATTAAGATACACTTTAGCTGCTTGTTTCTAGGAAAAACTCGTATTTCAGACAAATCCTTGAAGTTCTGGGTAATTTTGTGAGTCATACATGATGCCACCTGTGGTTCTTTTAGAATCATAGAAAGGTTTTGGTTGGAAGGGACCTTAATGATAATCATCTTTTGGCCACCTTTTCTACAGAACCTAAATTTAGCATGGAGCCTGTCACACATGCTATGAGAACACCTACCAAGTAAGGGTCCTGGGCAAGACTAGATGAAGAACATTTACTTTACAAGGTGTACAGTCTTACCTAGGAGAACTCAGATGTAGAAAGACAGACAGCTGTGGGTTGTACATGTCTCCAGAGTTAGATGTCAACAGTGCAGAGAGTTTGTCAACCATGACCTTGGAGGTAAGCATCTACAGTTACAGCTGCAATTGTCTACGTAGGCAGACCCGAGTCTCTCTGCCCTGTTCTGGTTGGTCTCTATCCATGCTATAAAAGCATCTCACTTTTATGGAGGGCATATGGATATTCTGCTCTGTGGCGAGGAGGTGACTTGCATCTGTCTGCTCCTACTCCTGTAGGTAGAGCCTGTGTTCCTCCATGCATTTCACGGACCATCATTCAAGACTCTCTTCCGTAACTGTGACCTATCTCTTTCCAAACACAGCTAGGAAGATGAAATCATTGAGATTATTTTCTCTTGGGCAGAAAACTTTATTGGGAATCCGTAATTCAGACCAAGGCAACATTCTGAAACATCTCCTCAATC